AATATTTTTTATTGTATTACTCTTTAAAACGTAGAATTATTAATACCCATTGCTTTTGGTCACTAGTGGACTCAAATTCTTTTGTTTTTACAATTAGTCTTCTAAAAGAGAATGTTAGAAAGTATTAAGACTTATAAATTAGTGAATCACAATTTATACATTTTCAATTAAAGTAATATACCTATAAAGCTGCTTTTCTTTCCATATGCGTACTCGTATAAAAAACTTTTCATAATGCACTAAATTAAAATCTTTTGAAATTACTTTTTATTTAAACAATACCAACTTTAATAGAAATAAATATATAACTTTTACATTCACATATTTAATTATTCATTAATTACTCCAACAGTATAATTTCTTATCGAATTATTAAATAATGTAATAGGTATTTTGTAATACTCATTGTTTTAACACGATGAGTGTGAAAAATAAAATTATTTATTGACATGGAGCGTCCGTTACATGTATCAAGATCTCGCGATAGCAGTACAAGTCAAGAGATAAAATTGCATAACACACTTTCACCAACATCGTTTATATTGTTCACATCGTCGTTCGTGGTTCACATTTTATTTCAACAAAGGCGAGCCTTTCATACTATTGTTGCTATTTTTTATAGGTTATATTCTAAATTTAAATTTGTGAATGAACGAACGAATGAATGATAACTTTATTTGTTTGAATACAGGTTATTAGACGTATTTAATGTTAAAAACAGTATCTCTTATTCAACGGTGTGATGTGCAAATATTTAATTTGGAACTTGTCCTTAAAATTTTACATTAAAATCGTCTTCATCGTCGTGTTTGTGCTTTACGACAATATTTTATTGTTTTTAGGAAATTCAGACAAAAGAAAAAGACTGTCATTTTAGTAATTTGTTAGTAACGCTTCGCTAAAAACTGTCAACTTTTATATTCATGGATGAGTAAATTTGTATCACAGGCCGCACAAGACTCACGTGTTTCGTCAGTGTGTGTGTGTGTGTGTGTGTGTGTATGTGTAAATAAGAACAGTGAAATACCATAGTTTTTACAACATTGAAAAATAGCGCGTTCCGTTTCTTTAACAAATAAAACTCCAACCGTCGGTTGACGACCTTTTTCGGAACTTATTCGACACTCGACGCATCTAGAGGTATACGATATGATAAGTATATAATTAAAAAAAAAACCGTTTTTTACCATTTGTTATTTCGTGTTACCATTCTATTATCATCAGATAGAAGAAACCCGAGCTTGAGTGGTACGTAGCGTCTGTATTGTTATTGAGTAATAGACTTTGTCAGGTAGAAAAATCGGTAATACTGCGACCTCTGTAATCTATTGTATCCGCTTATTTTAAAGTTCACTGCAATTCCTGTCAGTGATAGGAATTTTAAAATGTTTTAGTAGCGATGTTTTTATCTCCTCAGCATATAAAGTGTATTTTCCAAAGTGTATTTTCCAGTGTATTTACTAGAGGGAGACTTTGTACAAAAGTCGATTGCTTGGGTACCTCTGTCCCATTCGTGTTTCTACCGTGAAGCAGTTGTGTTGGCATGGCTGTGTTTCGGTTTGAAGGGTGGGATATGGCGTGAATTTACTAGGTACAGAGGAATAACACCTGAGTTCTCAGGAATGGTAACGCATGGAGGGTATCATGAACGAAACAGTATACTCTGTTATGTCCATGGTGCTGCTCATGTCTATAGGCGACGGTTATCACTTTCCATCGGGTGAGCCGCCAGCTTGTTTGCCATTCTAAGTTGTATAAAAAAAATCCAAAGGGGATATTTCGGGTATGTATGAGTGGGCGGGCTGCAGCCATAAATTCGGGAGTTAGTAAACTAACACTTGTTATATAGCAGTAAATAAAAAAGAAACTGCATTTTGAAGTCCATTAAAAATCTTCAAAATGTAAAATCAAATATTAAAAGAAAAAAGATTCGGGTGCCTATTGAAGAAAAGCATGGTAACTCGTTATCATAGTAAAATTTTCCATTCGACAGCCACGCGATCCTACCAAGCAAAACCTATTAAGTTATTTACTCGTGATTGTCGAATTTCTACCGCTTACAGTTAAGTACCGAAATGATTTACCGGATGAAAGTTAAGTGCCCCCACCAGGGGGGCTATAAATAAACTGCCTATAATAGTGTTATTTTTAAACCATTGCCATAATAGACGCATATGCATACTATTATCTACCTACACGTATCACTACATAGTAAGGCCACTTCCACATTTGACGACACGGTACCTACCGTATCGGTAATAATAATACCTAATCTAACCTAACCGATCCGATACAAGTTTCGAGTACTAAGTTACTAAATATTAATTATTTGTTAACATATACCCATTTAGTAACTCTCTCTCTCTCTCTCTCTCTCTCTCTCTATATATATATATATATATATATATATATATATATATATATATATATATATATATATATATATATATATATATATATATATATATAACGTATAACATTTCAAGAAAAAGATATACATTCCATAAAACTATCAAATTCTGTGTTATTATACTAGCCATGTCCCACGACTTTGCCGTAGTTGTGTCGTGGTATTGAATAGCATAATTATAGCCTTCCTTCCTCAAGATCAAAACAAGCTTTCAAATGTAAAAAGATTTTTTCAAATCTGACTAGTAGTTGAGATTAGCGCATTCAAACAAATAAATAAACCACTAGCTTTTACCCGCGATTTCGTCCGGTCGTATAAAAAGTAGTCTATATCTTTTTCCATACCAAATTTCATAGTGAAATAAATAAACAAACAAATTCACTATCACATTTATAATATTAGTAAGGATAATAAGGTACCACGTATACAATATTTACTTGTGCTTTGTTCTATAGTTTTAAATATCAAATCTATTTTCATTAGTTATACATGCAACCGGTTTTGAAACTTCATCCTCACGCTAGTTATACAAATTATGTATACAATTGGCATATGCAACACGTATCTATAACGATTTTTATATGAGGAAATTAATATTCATTATGAAATCTAAAAGCAATTTCTATACATAAACTGGCAGTGAAATTACAGAGTATAGGCGCATATTCTCAAGAAATGGCTACGCACGAAGATTACCATGGACGCTAGAGTAAGTTCCAATGGTGCTTCATGTCTACCATATAGGCGACTATTACCACTTTCTATTATCTAATTAAGTAGCATAAAAAAAATTAAACGATACCCTGCCGTCAAATCTGTAAGAGGCCTAAGTCGAGGCGAGTCGTGCCGTGGATACACTGAATAATGAATGTACAAATCAAATTGTTAATATTTAAATATATGACGGTTGATATGAATGTCTATGATTTTTCACTAGCCTACAGCTAAAACACCGTGACCCAGTGGTTTATTACGCCAAGTACACGACCCCGTAGGTCGTGCGTGAGATAGAATCTCGCCGGCATAGAATACTACGACAATTTACAACTTTTCTAATAATTGGACGATGGACATTTTGCCTGCGGACTTTCCTTTTGGGTATACGGTATATTTGGACAATATGTGTGCATTGTAGCACTCATACTAGTATTACAATTGTTGAAGTAATTCTGCTGTCTGTCTGTTACATTTTCACACATGAATCAATCAATCATTTGTCAAGGAGGGGATATAAAACTCGGTTGTATTAATTTCGTTGGGAAATTCGTAGTTTGGGTGACGAATGGTTAACATTAGGCTACGAGCAATGATCTACTAATTCGCCTGAAGATACTTCAATTAGAGATGAAACACGTATTGAAAAACTAGCGTAAACAAAATGGCAGACAGAGATAAATAGATGGTTAATTTGGAAGGTTTTGGAATTTCTCGTTGTAATAATTATAGTCAATCTTTGAGTCACACATATGCTAATGGTAGTATGGAATCAAACAAAACAATACTAATCTAATAATCAGAAACACCGTTAAAGTTAACTAAGGTTACCCCATTACCAAGAGATATGGCACAAAAGCCATTGTTGAAATTTAAAAGGTCTTATTTTTTGTTAAACAATTTGTTACTGTATTAATAAGTACAAGACAAAGGAAATTTTATGTTTTAAGTTAGTAGCATTTAAAATATTATATACCTAACTACGAGTACACTAGTAATAATATACATAAAATAGAATTATGTAAATGACGAGTTCAATGGAAACTGTTCATATGACAAATACAGAATTTGAACTTGAATCATGCAATTTTTAAAGAATTATTATGACTAGATTAAAAGTTTTGTCTAGAGTTGTGTCTCGTTGGACTTGAAGGTCTGAAGAGACGAGGCAAACACAAGAGGAATTTTATACGCGGATAAAATATCCCTAATTTAGTAAAAAACAAAAACAAATTAGAGGCGATGTTCCACACACAGTTATGCTATATTCAAATATTTTGAAAGAAATGCGGACAATGAAGTTTTACGTACGAATAGCTAAATAAATAAAGCATAAAAGTTCGAAACAATAAACAAGTGTAGCAGTTTGGTCATGTGCAATTTAAATATTTGGCAAATATTTCTCGTTGTAATTCTAAACGTTGAAAACTTTCCTGCTGTTGTAACTACTTACCTGATGGAGTCCAAGCTTGTACTCCTAATCATCTGGCAAACATTTTCCATTATACCCTAATTGCAAATTAGTTGGTCCAAATATTTGAAGACATTTCCTGCATATGTTCCATTTACCTGAGTCCAAACTTGTATTTCTAACTAATCATCTGGTAAATATTTTCCGTATATAACCTAATTGCAAATTAGTTAATTCAAACATTTGAATACACTTTTACTACCTGAGTGATCGCAAGCTTGTATTTCTAATTATCTGGCAAATATTTTCCGTTATAATCTGATTGCAAATTAATTGCTTCAATCATTTGAAAACACTTCCAACTATTGAAATAATTTATCTAAGTGAACCTAAGCATGTAACTTATCATCTTGTAATTCCAAATTGTTGGGTCAAACATTGTTTCCTGCAATTGTAACCACTTACCTGAGTGAGCCCAAGTCTGTAACTGGTTACGTCAAGGTCCAGCGCCAGGAGCATGTCATCGACGATCTGGCGGTCTGATAAAGATGTCTGCTGGTTGTTCTCAGCGGTTTCGTTCTCTGATGTGGCCAGTAGACGATACCTGCGATCGGTTATTATTAATATAGTATTTGTTACCAGAGGGAAGTTTTGTACAAAAGTTATTTGTATTCTTGGTAGAAACATAAGTGGGACAAAGATTGAACCTGTGGTGTGAGTTGTAGGCGATATATGAGGCCTATAAAATCAAAAGCAGTTGTACGCCATAAAATCGATTTCATTTTTACTCTGTATTCAAATATAAAGAAAGTTCTATTAATTCAAATTCAAATTATTACTAATATTCTAATTTTATTCAATCTGAATTAAAATATAGAATATCCTTCCATATCCTTGACAAAGTATTAGTTTTTATAGTTCCCTGAACATTTAGTTATCTTTGATTTTATAGGCCTTATATATCATAATTTTATAGTTATTCAAGTAATTTTATAGTCAAACATTAAATATATTATATTACAATCAATATTAACGCACATGCCTTTTAAAGGTGTTCACAGCATTTTCTTTAACATAATTATACAATACGAGGAAATGAAGTAACAATTATAAGGAATTAAATAACACTAGACTATATATTTACTATATATATTAAATACACTATTATTGATTATTGTATTATATTATCATGCATTCCAAATTTGCAATATCCCTTAAAAGGATTATAATTTGGCTCTAATGTAATATATAATAAAATATATTTAATTATACAAAACAGCAATATACCCAACCAGGTCGACCTCCTCGCGGTTCTCCCTGGAAACTATCATGGTTAATTCTTGATGAATTCATTATGATGGGCTAACTGGCCTGTTTTCATTCTCATCTATCACCCTTCACTGGTGCTCCGCCAGCGTATCCCGTTAGCGCAGGCGGGGTTACCATACCATTTTCATCCATCAAAAAAAAAAAAATTATACAAAACAAGTTACCTTCTGGCAAATTCGGATAGTGGCATATGCTCAGGGAATCCTTGCTTGTACAGTCTAGCAGCTTCAAGAAGTTGAAAACCGCGGAACTGAGAAAAAAATATATTCTTTTATACCCTTATTTTATATAAATCACTACGAGATACAAGGTACAAATAAAGGAACGCAGTTATACTGTAATATACTATAGTACTTCTAATGCATAACCTTAAGGGCTCAACTAATGTCACCATATTTAGTATATATGTAGCATTAGCGATCCGCCCCGGCTTCCCACGGATAGATAGGATGTATATTGCTAGCAAATGACCTGCCAGTTCCCAATATTAACAATCCCTCCCATGCCCCCTTAAATCGTTGTTTAAAAAATGGATTTTTGTTTGTAATGGATAAATATTTTAAAGGCCGGCAACGCTCAAGCAACTACTCTCGTGTTGCAGATGTTAATGGGTGACGGTAGCCACTTTCCGTCAGGTGGATCGTCTGCTCGTTTGCCTTCCCAAGAATAATAAAAAAAAACTTAAAAAATATTTAATGGATTTTAAAAAATATTTTACATATCAAAAACAAACGTCGAGTCACATCGAGCTGTATTTTATCTAAAAAAAAAAAACTTAGGAACGTTTGTAAACAAACAAATCCTTACCTGTGACCTCAACAAGGGTACATTGACGTCATCGGCGACGTCGGCGGCCTGGTTGGTGAGTAGGCAACACACGAAGTGTACGCCGCCGGCGCCGCATCGCCGCAGCGTGTCTACCACGCCATCCGCTACGAATTTCGCTTGAAGCGCTGTCGAGCGTCGCTTCATGCCCGCGGTACCTGTTTACATAGATAATAGGTAATATTGCAATAACTTAACAATGGCTATATTAAATATAGGTGATCTATATATAATATCGAAATAAATATAGATATTCGATTGGTATGGGCGATATCAAAATGGATCCACCACAATATCCAAAGAAACTCAATATATAGATATCTGAGCGATACTGATATTACCCACGTCTGTTGAGAAATGCCTTCGCTGGCATCTCAGCCGTAAAACGATTAACTGTGGTTCGGGATCACTACAAGTAAATCCCAGCCTTAACTTCTGAGAATATTGAACTTGGCAACTGTTACCATCTTCCATCGTTCGTCTGATGGAAATTAGTCGTGTTTGTTATTTTAGCTTTCATAAGCGTGAAAGTTACTGATAATATTGATAATAATGATGATATCGGCGATGATGAATGATGAAGTATAGCGTAGTAGTGACCTGTGGTGAGCGTGCGGCGTATGGAGGAGGCCCGACGCAGCGTACTGGCGTCACCGGCTGCGGCCCAGCCCGCGCCGCCGCCCGCCGCGCCTCGCGCCATGCACGACAGCCGGATTATCTCCTCGCTGTCACATTACAACATTATTAGAGATTGCAAATCGATGCTATATATGATAGTACAAAAATACTACATTATTACGTAGGGAAGGAAATTGCCGATTATCAAAATTCTTTTTTTTTTTACATTAAATGTATTTAGTTCATTATTAAAACTTACTTTTGACTTTCTTTGTACTTTGTTGTTGAATTCAAATATAGAAATTAATTTTTTTTTGTCATTGAACGGGGCGATTATATTTCTAAATGTATTTGTTCATTATTAAAACACTTTTGACTTTCTCGGCTCGCTTTAACCCAGCCAGTGACGTCATACAACACCGGATTGGTACCCTAAAATGGAAATAAAAACAATGATAGAAGTTAATTATAATGAGTCTCAATGTCAAATGATGCCCTTGTAACTCTCAAAGATCATGGGTACAAATAAGGGCGACACAATTATGAATAAACTAAACTGTATTCCCTATTCTAAAAAGTTAATAAAAAGATAGAGAAAGTACATATGCATTAATTTGGTCCTTCGAGCCAGATATTAGTGACTTGAGACAAAAAATAGTTCGATGCTTTTATTTCAATATAACCTGTGCCAATTAGGATTCATTATATCTAACTGAAAACTAAATTGGCACGTGACATGAATGCAGTTAATAATAAGTACCACACAATCACACCAATTGCTTAATCTGCAAGCTAAAATACTCTGTGTTATGAAGAAATAGGCAAACCTACCTATTACCTTAGCACCCAGACCCGAAACAATAAAAAAAAATGGCTCGACAGTGAATCGAATCCATAATCTCATATCTATGATTAAACAATTCTAAAAAGTTCTTTTCGTAAATTGGCTTGTCCGGGAATCGAACCTGTGACCTTCAATATATGGTCGAAAACCTTACCTGCAGGTGTTGGAGGACAAACTGTCGCGCGTGCGGCGCCTTCTTGATGAGGTAGTGCGTATGGTGCGGCGCGCCGTAGTGCGTCATCACTCGCTCCAAGAACGTGTCGTCTGAAGAGCCCGGGTACATTGATTCCTCGTCCAGGAGCCTGTCGAATTATAGTAACTAGTTATTACCAGATAGCACAAAGCTATAAGATCTAGATGGAGTGTCTCCATACAAAAATAGCTCACTTTTTTAATTACACACTTTTAAAACCTGTAAGCTGAAGTGGCAGTAGGCCAGATGGGCCGGATGGGCCAGATGGGCCGACGATCTTCACAAGAGAAGAAGAAAATGGATGCAAAAAGCAGAGTACAGCTTTGATTGGAAGGCATTGAGAGAGGTCTATATTCAGCAGTGGATTGGAAAAAGCTGGTAATAAAATAGTAGAGGGAAACTTTGTGCAAAAGTCATTTGCTTGAGTAGCTCTGTCCCATCTGGTTTCTGTCGTGAAGCGGTTGTGGTTGTATGGCTGTATTTCGGTTTGAAGGGTGAGATATGACAGTGAAATTATAGGGTACAGGGGAATAACATCTTAGTCCTCAGGTAACGCATGAGGGGTAATCACTTTCCATCAGGTAGGCCGTCAACTTGTTTGCCATTCTAAATTGCATAAAAAAAAACTAAAAAGTTGTTTTTTTTTTGTATATGTATGTTGTCATTTGTGTACTGTAAATAAGTAATGCAAATAAATTATCTATCTATCTATCTATCTACCATAGAAGACCACGACGATCGCACTCCCGTAAATCTGTCTGCGAGCTTCGTACGATTGTGTTTTGTGGCGATTTGTCGAGCAGCTCCACCATCGGTCCGGGGTTCACGGTCTCCGACAACCAATCTGAAACAATAATCGTATAAGTATTAAATATTACAAAAGAAGAGTGTCTATGAATAGATGGACTGTCTCTACATAAAATTCGGAAAGCGACAACGTTCGATTTCACAGATTCGGAAATATGTCTAGGAACATTCGAGATGTGTTATTAGTCGTAAGAATTATCTTATTATGTACTTTACATTATATTAATATTATAAACGTGTAACGACAGATGAATGTTTGTAACTCTCTCTCTCGAAAAAAAAAACACTGTAATGTTTTGAACAAAAATTGACACACTGTTCTTTTTTTAAATGGATGATAATGCAATGGTAACTTCTTCTCCGGTTTAGCTTTTATGGTGGCCAGATTCAGCTTTCTTGGTATTTCTTTTATACTTTGCCCAACATTATGTATCCATCTTAGTACTTATTGTTATTATATGAGCCTTTAACCGTCCACTGCTGAACATAAGCCTCTCCCATAAGGGTGGGATTTGCCAATAGTTGCCACGCTTAGCAGGCGGTTTGGCAACCGCAGTTAGGCTTTGCTAGTCTATGTGTGTAATAATTTAAATCAAATCCGTTCAAATGTGACTCAGTAATTAAATGTTTAAAAATATTCACATTTAGTTAATAGTAAATCATAAACTATATTGCTTTATAATTATAAGAATTAAATTTGAGTTGAATTACATTAACTATCCGATACATACCTTCCTCTGCGCCATCGTCAAGTGTGATCCCTTCTTGCGAGTAGCGCTCCCGCGGTGCAACCAACATCGCTTCATGAAAGACCGCTTGCAGTCGTTCCTGTATCAGTTATCAAGTTCAGATATCAATAAGAAAATAACTAAACTGAGGCAAGAAAGAAAATGCTTTTTTAAACAATATCGTCTGCAAAAGACAGTAGCTTGATAAGGGTCAACCACCTCTATCAGATCCAAAAGCAAAAAAATAATTACAATATTTATGGAGGGATCGCCGAGGCTTCATTCATTATGAGCGTTTGAGATCAAATTTAAAGATTACTGCGAATAGATACACCCAGCAGGTGCAAAAAGTGCAAGAAAAAAATGCTTTCACCTATAGAAAGCTGTATTTTCAATAAATAACAAGAGCTATATTTTATTTAAAAATAACCGTTAATTAAAGAATATCCGTCCGAAGGTTATTTTTAAATAAAATATAAGGCAAATTATCTAGTAACCTGTAAGTAGTTGGAGAGCAGCTTGGACAGAGGGGCGCCGCTTTGCTGTCCGGCACACATAGGGTTGTCAGCGCCGGGCGCGTCAAGCAGTAGCAGCGATGCGGACGTCCGGCTCGACGTCGACACGCTCCTACCCGTCGCAACATATTAAGATTATTGTTAAAAATTTCGTAAATACACACACACACACACACACACACACACACACACACACACACACACACACACACACACACACACACACACACACACACACACATATATATATATATATATATATATATATATATATATATATATATATATATATATATATATATATATATATATATATATATGTGTGTATAACTATCGGTTTAACTTAAGTGTAATTTGGTCGAGAAAGCTCGACTCGTTTCGTAAACTATCCGGTTCCCTTAGTCTTGAGCAGCTGTGACGCGAACGCTTTAGTTAAACCCGTATTTTTTACATTAAAATATTTAGTAATGTTAGTAGAGTTACATTAATTTTGACATCTTAGATTGTAGTTAGAATATCGAGTGTCCAAAACAGGTCAAAATTAAGGCAGCCACACGATACTTCAGCTGACTCAATTTTGACAGATGTACTTTTTAAACCAAAACAAAGCGCAGCACAAACTTTTTTAGCGATTTAGAGTACCTTTGTCCCATTCGTGTTTCAACCGTGAAGCAGTAGTGTTTGCATGACTGTGTTTCGGTTTGAAGGGTGAGATATGGCGTGAATTTACTGGATACAGAGGAATAACAGCCGAGTCCTCAGGAATGACAACGCATGGGGGGTATCATGGGCAAAACAGTATACTCTGTTATGTCCATGGTACTGCTCGTCTCTATAGGCGACGGTTACCACTTTCTATCAGGTGGGTCGTCAGCTTCTAAGTTGTATAAAAAAAAAGATCTACCACAAGCAAATTGTCATTCAAACATACACTACCTTATTTTTATTTAGAATCCATAGAATTGTTATCGGTTTAGATACTTTGCTTTGTCTTATGTTAGTGTTTCTATAGTTTTTCGTATATATATATATATATATATATATATATATATATATATATATATATATATATATATATATATATATATATATATATATATATATATATATATATATACATATATACATATATATATATACATACGTACCATACGATGTTAAGTCCGCCATTTAAACTTTTTAGGTGTATTAAAGTTTATTAAATAAATTAAGATACATAGTGTAATGGCCTTACCTATTGACAAGCGAGACAATAATGTTAAACGTCTCGTTGTAGAGGCCAGTGACGAACGCGTCGAGTGCTTCCGTGCCTGACACTTCCCTTTCGTTTGATGGCGATGGCGTTCTGAAAATAAATTAAATATAATTAAAAACAGAGTTATCCTTACTAATGTTATAAATGTAATAGTATGTTTGTTTGGTACATATTAGCGTCTTAATGACTTAGCCAATCAGTATGATATATGATATAAAGCTACTACATAGGATGGAAAAATTTAAAAGCGAACACAATCGAAGTTAAAAGCTGGTCGACGACATTTTATGGAAAAATGATAATTAAATATTGTGCTCAAGAAAATAAAAAAAAATATAATTGTGGTAAAATCAGGTATTTTGAATTAAAAATTAAACTACTAAACCAATTCGGAAAAAAATATAGGAACAATCTGTAAGTATATCCTTTAAGATAAAAAAAAAAGAATTGTCTAAATCGGTTTACAACTCCGTCGAGTTGAGGTAATAAACATAAAATAATACAACCGAATTAAGACCCTCCTTTATTTTGAAGTCGGTTGAAAATGGTATTTTATTTTTTCTGTGAACTAAACAGCTTGTATCCTAAAGTCTATAAATTATCTCCATTAGGGTCATTTGTAAGCGACTTCTAAAAAGAAAAGGTTTTAATGAGTTAGGTTTAGTTCGTCTTTTTTTCTTATGCCTGCATTGCTTCGCTAATTCTGAATGGATTTTAATAATTACTATGGTATTTTATACATCTTTGTTGCAAAGCATAATGGTGTATGTATGTATATATATAAACACATGTGCGTGCATGCGTGCGTGCGTACGTGCGTGCATGCATGTGTGCGTGTGTGTTGCCATTTATAGACACGAACAACAGCGTGAAAAAAAAACCACAGGAATATACTGTGATATTCATTGTACCCATAACGACACTTAATGGTTTAATGATCGTATAAAATAATAAAAAAAAAATAGAAATTTGCGAAAACCAGGGGACGGCAGATAGTCGAGAGCCTATGCCCAGCAGTATACAGGCGCAGGTTGCAATAATTCAGATGTGCAGTACCAACCTCAATGTGGAATTGTTCTGCGGCGAGGAGGGCACGGCACCCGCGAATATAGCACGAGCGAGCTCGTCCGCGCCCACGGACAGCAGCCGCGCCGCACGCTGCCCGCAACCGGTACTTGCGAACTGGTACCGCGAGCTTGCTCCCGTGCTCGCTGGGGGAACATCATGGGGTTTTATTATACAGGGTGCAATCATATAAAGAAAAACATATTTTTATTCAATTAAACTTAGATCTAAGCATTTTTAAATAGTCATTTTTTTCCTTATCGTACATACGGAACGCAAATTTAGCTAAGAAGAACGGACAAGAAACTCAACTGTTGCTATTTTTAAAAAGCACTAGTAAACTCTCTAATTGTGAAAGTGAACATTAATTTGAAATAAACATTACGAAAAAAGGTATTTGCCACTTAAGAGCGATTTGTTTTTTATTTTTACTTTTTTTTTACGAGTATATCACAAAAGTGGTAAGCAAACAAATCATACAGCCTATCTGATGGTAAACGGTCACTGTAGCCTATGGATGCCTGCAACACTATGAATATCACGTGTGCGTTGCCGACCTTAAAGAAACTTTAATATGAACTATGTAAATAAAATTTTGTACATACATGAACTATATTCACCACATATAGTACTTTTTACAGTAATCCATGTGAGCAAAGCCACGTATTAGGGGGGAGGGATTGTTAGCAATGGAGTTTGACAGCCTTATTGCTAGCAATATGCCCTATCAGGTCAACCTCCGCGTGGTTCCCCCTGGAAACCATCGTGAACAATTCTCGTTGAATTCATCACGATGGGCTAACTGACCTGTTTCATCTCATCTATCATCCTTCACTGGTGCCCTATCAGCGTAAACCGATAGCGCGGGTGGGGTCACTATTTCATTATCACATATAAAAAAGCCACGTATTATAGCTAGTATTAAACAATTATATATGTTGTTAGAGGAATAATAAATAACCATCCTTAATCAAGAGATAAAAAAGGTTATGGATTAATATAATATTATCTATCAACACGTGAAATCCCGTAGTGGGTAAGCAGAGAAAACTATGTTAATTATTAATTTAATTTAATAAAAAATTGTTACTAGTAATTGCAACAAAAACTATATTATAAAATGTCGATCTATGTTGTAATCTATCTGTGTAGCAAATTTAATTCATATCCGTCCAGCTATTTATGTGCCATTGAGTAAAAAATATCTAAACACAACTTTAAGCACATATTTAAACATTTATTTTTATATGGCTACATTGTTTAATTTAAATAAACTACATTCTATTATTAGAATACCTTTCACTGCACCGGCCCATCCCAAATGACAAATGACGGCCAATATCTTCCACACCGCCATCTCTTCTTGCTCGGTGATATTCAGTAATTGCATCGCTTCTTTCAACGCTGAGAACTCAGTGGGTGCGTCTGCTTTATCGCTAAAGCTGATGAATGGGTTCGGAGCGTTGACTGGTGCTTGGTCGAGCAGCAACTCGCGGCGGAGGCGACCGTCGCAGCCGTGGAATAATCTAGAAAAGTTATAGTATTTAATAAATAAATTATTTACATAAATTATTAGGCACCTAAATTAGATTAATTACTAAATTATGCAAATAGATATATTATTTTTACTTGGCATATTTTGTAAACAATCTTAGTACGTTTTTTTAACAAACTTAGGTATTTAAAAATATAAGAAGACAAAAAGTAACAATAAGCAATAATAATGACCTATTTGCAGAAATGGCAACTGTATGAATGAATGAATGAGTATACTTTATTTGCATTGTACAATATAGGGAATAAGCAAGACAATTAATAAATGTAACGATACTATTGTATAAGTACAGTAAGGCGGTCTTATTGCTGAAAGCAATCTTTTCAAGACAACCTTACGGTAGTGAACTAATTGTTAACAAGTAGGTATGATAATATTATATAAATAAGAAAGTAAAACATGAAGGAAAATAATTACAAGTACCTATTATGAAATTTAAAAAATAAATCTGCACTCAATAATTTAAAATTAAATTCATAACCAAACGATTTTTTCATGTTCTCTTACAGAATTCGGAATAGCAATGAATTTGACGGCTCACCTGGTATAAAATGATGTAAACACGAATTATAGATGTAAACAGTTTAAAATATACTGTGATGCCTATAGTATGCTTTATACGATGCTATTCTAGAGGATAGATACTCTTTATTGTTCCCTCCAAAAGATTAAAGTTCACACATAAAATAAAAAAAAAAAGCAATGAAAAACTTAGGATTTATGTTTTATGCCTGTGTACCCTTTAGTACCCTGTAGACTGCCTTTTGTACCTTTATGTGCATATTTTAATCTGTATTTATGTTACTGTATTTCACTTGAATTATTCACTTGTCATTGTATATTTTTATTTATGGTGCAATAAAGAGTTAAATAAATAAATATCCTTTAATTTCAATTTCATGTCCCACTTTTCAAACCAAAACAACTGTATACACAACTTTATAGCAGAAACATGAATGGGACAGTTGCATTCAAACAAAAGATGGATACTAACGTGTGTAGCGCTCTTAGCGGAGCTTGTCCCGGCCTAAGATCCGGCAGCAGCGTCTGTACGGATGCGGAGACGAGCGCACCGCCGCCGTCAAAGTCGAGTGACGTCAGCGAGACGAAGCGGGACGCATGGGTATTCGAGCCCGTGCTGGAATAGTTGAATCGAGAATTTTTATTAATTAATAATACTAAAGGCATATTTTCAATACACTTATTATATAACATTACTGATATCTTACTAATTATAATAAAATTATAATTAAACCATGACTGGACATGGGAGATATTTAATTACATTATTATATTAAATAACATTAGGGGTCTTAATAAAACTAATAGATAATATAAGAATATTTTTTTTTAGAAATTTTGTCTGTCTGCCTGAATGTTCGCTCCCGTATCACACAGACTATTACAGAAATTGGATTCGGTTTTGAGAACTGTGTTTCTGAATAAGTAACTTAAAATCTAGTATATGTAATACGTAAGTTACTTAAAATCATATGTAATTTAAAATGTTATATATATTTTACACGCACGAAGTAGCAAGCAAAAGACACAGCAATAAATATGTTTATTTATTTATTTAAGGCAAACAGATAACTAGAATAATACATAATTACACACTTAAATAGTAATTTGACGGCCACTAAAGTTTGCACCAATGTAATACGAGTGAAGGAAATACAAAATTAAACAATACTATTGAAAACTACAGCAACACTGTCAACAGATAATGCTCAGATGTTAACAAAGCCATCCATTTTTTTCAGAACAAGACATTATTTGAGAATAATACCTTTATAATCATTAAAAAAAGTTTACAATATTTAAACAGAATAGGTACAGTGCTACGAGTGAGCTTAAGGTAGTGGGGAGATGGGGGTAATAAGATGATAACGTTGGGAAAATTGGATATAAATAAAGTAGCACACAATTAAACCAATCCTCAAGCTAGGATATCCTGTGTTATTAGAAAAAAGTCCATTTTCTAAATAGACGACTGGAAATCGAACCCGGATGATGCCTACCGCTGCGTGAGGGAGGTCGTCGTAGGAAATGAAGTCGGGGACATAGATACTTGGGTTTTGGACTAATTTTTATTGTTTGAGAACAATTTTCATTTGATATGAATACTAATGATTGCAATTTCGCCTCTATACGAAAGAATGACGCAAATATATATATATATATATATAAACTGGAAAATTTGTATGTATATGCTAACTGTAATAAGAAGTTGTTTATTTCCCAAATTAAAATAAAAAACAAAATACTGACCGAGAGGATCCAAAGGTATGGAGCACATCGAACGCCGCGTCGAATCGTTCGGGCGTGAGCTTGGAGCCCTGAGCTGGATACGTGCTTGCCAGGTACCAAACGCAGTGACGCATTGCCGACGTCTTACCAGAACCAGACCTGAAAATACAATAGAAAACGTTGGCCTTTAAAACAAAAGAAAAAAAAAACAATTATTTTTTTAATTAGAGTACGACATGTGAAGGAAGAGTCCATAAAAAAATGAATGCATGACGAAGAATAACTCAAGATCGCATTGAATTAAATCTCTTCTATTTCCAGCTACATTTTTCCATTTTCATCCTGTTTTAGTCATGATACTTAGAATGGCAAACAAGCTGACGGTCCACCTGATTGAAAGTGGTAACCGTCGCCTTTGTCACCATAGACATACTATCTTACCACAAGAAAATGAAATTTGCGAAAAACAGGTACTCAACACTTGTTGAGACGATGTACTATAAAAGCTTGTCTAACATTTGTTAATGTCTAAACAAAAGAAAGCTTGTATTATTGTAAAAAAAAAAAAATGTTCAGTCACAAAACTATTAAAAATTATATTTATATTACAATAGATATTTTGACCTATAAATTTACAAATTAAGAGAATTACACCGACTAAATTCTGCTTGCCACATGGTTGACTGGTAGAGAACGCCATTAGATGTTAAGTCCGCCATATGCACACTTACTTATATTATATAATTGTGCATTGAAGTTTAAATAAATAAATTAATTAGTTAATTATACATAATCACTTTTTTATACAACTTAGAATGTCAAACAAGCTGACGGCCACCTGATGAAAAGTGGTAACCGTAACCTATAAACAAGAGCAGTACTATGGACATAACAGAGTATACTGTTTCGCCCATGATACTACCCATGCGTTGCCATTTCTGAGGACAAAGGTGTTATACCACTGTACCCTGTAAATTCACTGTCATATCCCACCTTTCAAACCGAAACACAGTCAAACTTAGATAGGGGTTTGTTAAATTCTGTTTAGATTGAAAATGTTTTAAATTATTTTTGTGGTAAGACTGACAGTATACACTGCATGGTTAACGCATTGACAGGGGGGAAAAGGGATTGTTAGTAATGGAGACTGAGAATCCCATTTCTAGCAATATACTCAACCAGGTCGACCTCCTCGCGGTTCTCCCTGGAAACTATCATGATTAATTCCTGATGAACTAATCATGATGGGCTAACTGGCCTGTTTTCATCCTCATCGATCACCCTTCACTGGTGCCCCATCAGTGTATCCCATTAGCGCAGACGGGGTTACCACTCCATTTTCATCCAATAAAAAAAATGCATTGACAATTAATTCCATTTTCGATACAATTAATTAATATCATCGTTAGACATTCCTGAACACAGTATCTTTATATACCCGGCCACTTCGTTTTCTTGCTCTCATTTCCTTACAGTTGTTGATAATATCAATTCCTTTATTCATGAGCACAACCTTAAACGGTTCCCAATCGATACGCTATACGCAAACTATATCTATCGACGCGATCTATTCTCTCCGTAACAATCTATTAAAATTGTTCCGCTAATAAGCGACTTTGCAGTAAATTGCTTCGTATCTTGTACATTGGCTAATTTAAAGGAAAATCACTTTTGTGTCTTTCGTAATAAGAATTACACAGTTGCACTATTCTTAATAACCATAGCCTTGGCCATCAATGTATTCATAGCCGTGTAATTATTAAAATACAAGGTGTATGCAGTTAAATTAATAGTGGACAGTGGATAGTTAAAGGCTGATAGGATGATGATGCAGTTAAATTATTTATCATCGTCATCATGTGAGCTCTTAACCGTCCACTGCTGAACAAACCTTTTTTTATACAACTTAGAATGGCAAACAAGCTGACGGCCCACCTGATGGAAAGTGGTAACCGTCGCCTATAGATATGAGCAGTACTGTGGACATAACAGAGTATACTGTTTCGCCCATGATACGCCCCATGCGTTGTCGTTCCTGAGGACTCAGGTGTTATTCCTCTGTACCCTGTAAATTCACGCCATATCCCCCCCTTCAAACCGAAACACAGCCATCCAAACACAACTGCTTCACGGTAGAAAGACGAATGGGACAGAGGTACCTAAGCAATCGACTTTTGTACAAAGTCTCGGCCTACCCCTTGGGGGGATTTTACCAGTAGTTGCCACGCTTGGCAGGCGGATTGGCAACTGCAGTCAAGCTTTAAAGATGGTTTAAGAGGGCCGCTGATAGCCATCCCTCGCCGTCCCTTAGTCGTCTTTTACGACACCCACGGGAAAAGAAGGAATGGCCTATTTTATGCCGGGACTATACGGTCAAATTATTTATGTTCAATTTGAGTTCAATCGTGGAAAAATCAATTATTTTGAATTAAAAACTAAACTACTGTACCAATTTTAATAAATTGTCTATAGAACAACACCGAAACTATATTTTCTTGCAGAAAAAAAAAAAGAATTTTCGAAATCGATTTATAACTAACGTAGTTATGAGGGTAACAAATAATAAAAAATACCAATAAAAATATATAAACTTTCGCCTTTTTTTAAGTCGATTGAAAATGGATTAACAAATAAGTTGTCGATCGCGCATCGTGTCTTTTAATGTCTCTTAATGTTTGAATTACGCATTACAGATTATGCGATGTTATATAATGTATTTACTGGTTCACTTAGACGTTCTTGTTCACTTAGCGTTATTTTAAAATAACAGTGTTAATGTTTATAGATCGTGTGTAAATATATGTAAATTTATACATAATCCATGACTGTGTTCCTAAGAAAAGGCTGATAAAGCATCATTATCGCTAAAGTCGAGTCTGAGTTCCGTGTGCGTTGCATTTAAAGCATTTATAAACGCATTTAAAGTCTCTCTTTCATCCTAAGTTGGTTGAAAAAGGGGGAGGTCAGAAATATAACAGAAGAATGACACAATATCTACATGATACTATGTCAAACTTAAAAAAATTGGTTGACAATTAAGACAATTGGTGTGAGATATATAGACTAGATAGATATACAATCTATCTAGTCTATATGTCTACTAACTATATCCATAAATAAAATAAACATCTTATATTGGATCTATAAACATCCAATATAGGATGTTTATAGACATATAAAAACCAGAGGGAGACTTTGTACAAAAGTCGATTGCTTGGGTACCTCTGTCCCATTCGTGTTTCTACCGTGAGGCAGTTGTGTTTGCATGGCTGTGTTACGGTTTGAAGGGTGGGATATGGCGTGAATTTACAGGGTACAGAGGAATAACACCTGAGTCCTCAGGAATGGCAACGTATGGGGGGTATCATGGGCGAAACAGTATACTCTGTTATGTCCATGGTACTGCTCATGTCTATAGGCGACGGTTACCACTTTCTATCAGATGGACCCTCAGCTTGTTTGCCATTCTAAGTTGTATAAAAAAGAACTTACAGGCTGGTCCCATAGAAATTTTTACAAATGTGGCTCAGTACTAAAGTTTTTAAATCAAAATAACCGATTAAGTCACAACTGAAGTAAGTTTTTTTTTTTTGATCCACAATTTTAATTGTTAAGATAGAGCGACTCAAATATCGATTATAAAATTGAACAGAATATTTGTTGTTCTCTCTGTAAGTGTGGTTCTTTTTGGAAAATCATTTCTTAAACCAGTGTGGTTTACCTTTTTTTTCGACATCGTCACACAAATTAAAACGTATTCTGAAAGTCGATTTTCTCATGAATCAATTTTAGATCTCTTAATTTTACAAAAGGAAACTTTTGTCCATAATCGAAAACTATAGAATTGACCCTTACCTTCCGAGAAAAACGATGGCCCTGTCGCGTCGTGAAGCGAGCATGCAGCGGTGAGCCGACTGCGCAGCGGCGAACACGTGAGGCGGCATGTCGTCTGCGCGACATCCACGGAACATCGCAGCCACCTGAAATATACGGTATATTTTATCATACATTTGATAGTTGTTGTTATTGTATCAACCATTAACTGTCCACTGCTGAACATAGCCTTCCCCATATAGGAGAGCTTTACTAGTAGTTGCCATGCTTAGTAGGCGGGTTGGCAACCGCAGTTTGGCTTTTGGTAATGTTTCAAGAGGGATACAGTTGCCTATCCCTCCACCATAAGCTCCCTTAATCGCCTCTTACAACACCCACGGGAAAGGAAGGGGTGGCCTATTCTACGCTGGAACCTACACGGCCATTTGACAATTACTGCCATAATTTTATGTTAGTTGTTAAATAAGAACCAGTGCGAGGCTAACTTTTGGGAAACGATGGAATGGATTTTGAAAAAGTAATGAGAACCTAAGTCTTAATGCTAGCAATATACGCTAGCATTAAGACTTAGGGATACGGTTGTCATCTATGCGGTTCCCCAGAAAGCCATCTTAGTTAATTCTTGTGTCGTCATTATGGGCTAGCGGACTTGCTTTCATCCTAACCTATCATCTCTCACTGGTGACTCACCATTGTAAGGAATAAATAATAGAATAAAATAATATATTTTGCTGGGAAATTTTATTTATTTTCAAATTCTTACGAGTTCTTAGTAACATTACAAAGGTGAAAGAGAGTTTGTTATCTTATGGCATACACATTAACGGTTCAGGTAATCGTCAAGAAATTTAGGACGCAATAGAATATGCACTTTATATTACTTAATGAAACATTTTCATATTAAACAGGCGGGCAGTTTTAAATTCCAAAAAAAGTACGTTCCAGTTCCAGTTTATCTTCTGCTCTAATTCTGTTCTTCTGTTCACATTTGCTCTAATAGGCATAATACCTATTAGAGCAAATGTTAATTGCGAACGAATATAGATTTTTTGTCAAATCTTACCTTAAAAAATAAAATTAAAAAAATAACCTGTAACAACTTGATCCGTTAGGATTCGAACCCACATCTCTCTGCTATTTGATCTGAGCATGTTCTTAGTTACATAACGTCGAGTTCAATCAGTAAATGTTGAACCATTTTTTCAAATGTCAGGAGTCATGGGAAAGTACTTATAAATATTTTAAAATCTAACCTTTTCAGTATAAATAGGTGCGGTGCGCTTCGGTGGTCCCAGTACCAAGAGCGCGTGGCCTGCGCGAGCATGCGGTAGACCGGCAGCATACCGAGAACGAAGTACGTTGAGGGCACCGCACTCGTTCAGGCAACGAAGAGAAGCTATGTCCTCGCACATCTCCAGCTGAGGCGGGTTCGCCTGAAAATGTCAAATCTATGTATTAGAATCGTTCTAATAATGTGTTTTATTAATATTCTTTCTGTTCTCAATACTAAACAATTGAGGTAAGAAATAAATTCAGTAATGATATCGGTTTTGGTGGTGGTTATAAACTGGTAGGGCACAAGTAAGGAATGACTGATGGGGAACAAAGCAGGTAAGTTAGCTAAGTTTTTCAAGAAAAATTGCATAAATAATAGTAAGATTCTTTGCATGGTCATGGATCCCGCACAATACAAACATTTGTATACATTAATATATACGCATTTGTATTGGTCTGGGTGCTTTTTGTATGTTATATGCATTTTTTTTTTTAAATGATAAGAGAATTTTAACCTCGCCTGCGCTATCGCAGTATATACAGGCGGAACACCAGTAAGGGGTGATAGGTGAGGATAAAAAGATAGGTCGATTAGCTCATCGTAATGAATGCACCTGGATTTCAACACGATAGTTTCCAGGGAGGACCACGGGGAAGTCGACCTGACTATTGCCTGTATTGCTAGAAATGGGGCTAGTAGCCCTCATGACTAACAATGCCTTCACCCCTTGTATAATATTATTATTATACAATTAATTATTTACCACCAAAGAAATTAAGTATGCTTTATCATCATCATTTCGGCCATTGTCTGTTCACTGCTGAACATATGTCATCTCCATAGACTGCCATAAAGAACTGTCTTGAGCCACCTGCATCCACAGACTCCTTGTAATGATTGAGAATTTGAGGTCGTCAATCCACCTAGTGAGTGGTCGTCGTACACTGCGTTTGCCCGTCCGAAGTCGCCACTCAAAAATGTCTATCAGTTGTCTATTACCCATGAAATAAACCCTGCTTAGTTTAGGACTAGATGGCGTTGTGTAATATATTTATATTTATACTTATTTATTAAACCAGTAGTATTTATTAATTAAACTTACCTTTTCCAAATCATCTTCATCAACGGTGATCACCTCGCCAGTCTGGATTACTCGAACTTTCGCCCTGCCGGCGTCTGCGTCGCCTTCTCTGACCACAGCCGTGAAGCCACCTCGGTGTGCCAACCACATGTGTCCAGTTTGAAGCCATTCTTTCTCGCATGCCAATTGCTCTTCAGACTTCGCCTGTAAAAGAAGATTGTTTATTAGTAAATTGTGGTATAGCTGTTGCAATTGGATGAGAAAGAGCTATACCACAATTTACTATTAGCTATATTCTTTCTGAGATGAAGGTGTATAGATCATAGCAAAAAGATCTGTTGTGATTATTTAAGATTTAATTCCACAAAAAAACCCCAATTTTAATCACGGCAAAACCAGTTCTTTTGATTTAAAAACTGAAGTACTGAACCGATTTGATGTTGATTTTGATTTGATTTGATAACACTTCTATGGAACGAATCTGAATGATAAAAATAGAATTTTTCAAATTGGTTAATAAATGATGGGGATCTGAGGTAACAAACAAAAAATACAACCGAGAGATCACAATTGAGAAGCTCGTTCTTTTTTAAAGTCAACTAAAAAAGGACGAGAACAGAAGAATGACATAATATCTACATGATACTATGTCAAAATTAAAATTTAGGATTAATAAGATTAGGGATTTGAGTTGAAAAGGATTACATAAATCATGGTGATAATTGATGATTTACATGATATTATAATACAGTGCTAAGATTATTGTCTATGCTCATAATTAATGGATGATGATGACGATACAGACACATGTGAATCAGATAAAATATATATAAAATAGAATATATTTTGTTCAAATAGAATTTTCATTATATTTTACTGTTCATGTCTATATGTTCATGGCGACATTTAACACTTTCCACCAGGTGCGTCGTCAGCTTGTTTGCGATATATATATATATATATATATATATATATATATATATAGTTTACATAAAAATATGTTTTTTTAGCATTTTCATAACTCTTAATAGAACCATTAAAAGGAAATATGTATAAATAAAATAAAGATATTAGTATTTAATTGATAGATATGTGTCTTTTTAAACACATTGACATAGAAAACTTTAAAGATTTAAAAACAAGCATCATATAATAAGCATTTATAGAGAAACACACGATTCTGTGAAGGTATTTTACAACGAGTCATGCACAATCAATTATTGATCCATCAACAACGGTTTTTAATACAAATTACGTTAAAGGTCCCCAGTAATAATGGTATAACGTCGTCTACAACCTATTATGTTGACGGAGCGTTTATGAGAAAGCTTTGACATTCTTGTAAGAAATACGGATGATTTTGTAATCATTTGGCCAAGACGGTACCTTGAAAATTTTATTTCACGTTTGTTTTTCTATCCATATGTAAAAATATCCTTGGAGATATCACTAAATAAGTAAAAGTAATAGATATAAAAAATATCGATATATAAAACAAGATTTACATTCTCATAAAATTGTTTCGAATTTAAATAAAAAAAAAAAATAATTATAAAAGGATGAGGCATGACTATCATAAAATCTATGAATAATTGCCCTAAATAGGGACCAACATATCGTGATAGTGTATTTAAAAAAAAATGTAAAATTTGTGGTATAATTTTCGCACATTTGATTACAAATATCACAAGATATTTAGAACTGAATGCAAAATTTGGTTATATGCACTATTTTTGTCTTTGAGTATGTATCTAGTTTTTTTTTTTTTTTAATACATATATCTATGAGGACATATTAAAGCTAGTTAATGTGACCACTTTCAATTATCAATTTCTTTCTCTTATTATGGTATGAAAGTAAATTTTACTGGAAGCTACGCGTCGTTTTTATATCGACGCTGGAAAGGCAATATCTATTAGGTACCATTTAGTGAATTTTACAGTAAAGTAAAAAAATAAATTATGAAATGAGTGATAATTATAGTAAGCTAATGCAGTAAAATATTTAAAACAATATCTATGTATTTTTGACATTTTTAAAATCAATAAAAAATAGAGACTAATCAACAGTTGTGAAGTGAAAAAAAAAGTTATAGTTGGCCATTTTGTGTACTGGTTAAATGAACACCAAAAATTTTTATTACTTTATTAATTATATACTATTCGACGTAGGAAAAAAAACTGAATTCAATGATATACAAGTATAAGTCAATATAGTTCAAAGTGACGTTCTATACACTTTGGCTTTCTAACGTTGATATTATGTCCTTACTATTTTAAACTGTATAATATTTCTCCATCTAGAAACAATATTACTGGACGGTTTCTAACGCCGAGATTAGATACGGTCATTTGTAGAGTTTCACTACATTACATGTCCGCCACATTGTGTTACAAAATAAGTAAAGACGTATATTTTGTCATAATAGAACTTTCACGGATTCGCCATCTTTATGAAAATCTATTACATGTAGAATTTTTTACCACGACGAATACAAGAAGTTACACCCATAAGTGGGGTTTTATTAGTTGTTGCCAAATTTGGCGGGTGGGTTAGCAATCGCAGTTAGGCTTTGGTGATGTTTTAAGAGGGACGCTACTGCTTATCCCGCCACCATTAAGTTCCCTTAGTCCCCTAATGAATTATATTGTCGTATCACTTTTTTATTTCTGTTGATCTGTTGCAAAAATAAATATATGTATATAAAACCTAGTATATGAATAGCAAAAGTGTACTTACTGAATAAAAGAACACCGGTAGCAAAAATAACACTACTCAAAATTACAATTCAATGGAATTATTTGTTTATAAAAATCAACATTACAAAACCTACACAAAAACCTTTGCCGGTATTTCGTCCCTCACACATTCACGTGCATTATTAGGTATATGTACGTAATAATAGCTACAACCACATTATGATAGTTACCTATGTAGGCACGAATCAGGAAGAGACGGGTCGTCCTACGCCACGATTTTACAATTATTGTACGAGTATTTATTTCCGTAATTGGATTAATTGTTGCAATTCAATAAAATCTACTTAAGTCCGGAATGAACAATAAACAAATTTAAAAATCTAAATATATAATTATTCGAATTCTTGGCATGCTTTTAAAAGACTGACAATTTGTGATTTTTTTTCGTATGGAGATATATATCTAAAACTGTTATTAATACATTAGCTGAAGTCTGGATACGCCCAAGGTATGGCCCAATGGTATGGCATGTCCAAGTTTTTTTATCATTTTTTTTTTTATTTTCGTTATTTTTGTAAAATATATTTAGCTTAACTACACTCTAAATAAAGGGATAAAACTGATTGATTCATAGTCGAAAATTTTGTTAAAAAAGGATGTAAAAATATAAAATTCTATTTTTTTTTATTAATATTATAATTACATAAGTTTGTAACGACGGATAGATGGAGAGATGAATGTTTGTTACTCTTTCACGCAAAAGCTTCTGAATGTATTTGAACAAAACTTGGCACATTGGTAGGTGATATCCTAAATTAGTATATAGTATATTATACATACAGATTCACACGAGTGAAGCCACGCGATACAGCTAATTTTACATATAAGACATAAGCAAAATTTTATGTTTATATAACCTTATATAACCTTATAAAACATAGAACATTAAGAAGGATTTTAGTTATTTCCCACGGGAATGTCAGATAACGGGCTCCGCAAAACAGCTAGTCTGTTAAAAGTAATAAGCTGTCAGGCAATTTGTCTCCATTTTATATATGAGATCAAATATGATAGACAGTAAAACAGATATTGTAAGATATCTATCAACCATAAACATAGATGTATGTAGTTTTCTTGCCAATTTTTAGTCAATTTAAATTAGGCTCAAATAGCTCAAGTGTCTAGAGTTCTCATTACACAACAGTTATATTCAAAAAGTTTATAGGATAAAAACCGTGGTATAGATGTTAATTTCAATAAGTTTCGTGCTTTAGGTTTAGTAATATTAGGAGAAAAATATTAATAATGACATGTTTGGAAATAAAAAAAAAAAAACATTACTCGTGAAATTTGCAATCTATTGTGTCCAATTAATCATTAATACCAAAAAGGTTATGCTAATAATTATAATTTTCCTGCCCTTAGATATCCCAATTATTTGAAGTCGCCGTACAATGTTTTTATTCATATTATACAGGTTTTGGTTTCGCGACCGGCCGCTTAACTGACGTCAACCCTCCCTGGGAATGGAAGCTAATGCTAATCAATAATGTACAATATCATTGGCGTTAGTACATCTGTACAAACTAATTCCAAGACACTTAAACATATATCAATCTTCTCTTAGTAATGAAACACGGAAAATACATAAACAATACCAGCAGCGTAAAATACGGTCTTTGACAAGCCTGTCTGGTGTCCTGCAGAGATAGCTTCGACGGTAGAAATTGTTAGAACATAAACAACGTTGTTATGATAAGGGAGTAATGTAAATTTAGCAATATAGTGTTCATTACAATATTAAAATATATTTTGCTCCACAAAAAATAATAAATTAAATTATAAACATGTAGAAGAACGACAAGATGTTCATTAGACATATTAGGAGGAGAATAGTTTAATTTAGAATGTGAAATTCTGGATCGCATGTATCGGATTTTTGTTTCGCAGAAAAAACGAAAGCTTCAATGAGGCTAACATAAGAGTATACTCTATCGATTGCATAATGAATTATCTAAATCGAATTGTAAATTGCTTAAAAAATGAAAACTCAGTTAAATTTAAAAGAGGATTTAATATTATTTAGCATTATGCCCACTGTTTACATCACATAACTTCCTGTAAGTAGTCAATAAAGTTCTTTTTTTTTGGTGGATGAAAATGGTATGGCAACCCCGCCTGCGCTAACGGGATACGCTGGCGGAGCACCAGTGAAGGGTGATCAATGTGAATGAAAACAGGCCAGTTAGCCCATCATGATAAATTCATCAGGAATTAACCATGATAGTTTACAAGGGGAACCACGAGAAGGTCGATCTGGTTGGGTATATTGCTAGCAATAGGATCTTTAGTCTCTAATACTAACAATCCCTTTCCCTCCCAATAAAGTTATTATAAATAAATATATCTATTTTCCCACGAGTGCTTCGACCACCGAGGTAAAAACCATAGATTTTAACATACAGAAAAGCTTTTAAATGCTGGCGAAACAACCCATTAGAATCC